TCCTGTTGTTTCGCACGATGGCAAAACGTTTGAAATAGCCGTGTTACGTTTCTCGGCGAGGGGAGGGACGAGGTGGAATCGTTGCAAATTGAAATGTAACTTCAAAGCTGTTCGAAACTCACGGAAGTTTGTTATAGTTGGTCGCGTTTAACATTTACATAGAGGTTCGCAAGTTTATGCGAGAGCTCTTCGTGCGCAATTAGAGGTTGAAAAAGTTATTAACTTTGCCTGTTAATTAACGTTTGCCTATTAATTATGCGATATAACTGATTAACTGGTAAGTAAATGTCGAGTTTAATCGTCGTTTCTTTGTTGATTTACGGCGACAATTTTTTTATTTTTATTGATTCATCAACTTTTTATTAATTTTCGATTCCGTGGAATTTCAAACACTCGTGCAACAGGTTTCTCTGTTTCATATTTAAATTGAGAACGTCAAGCAGACTTATTTTAAGTATTTCATAAATAATTAATTCCACGAGTATCCTTAGTTAAGTTTCATTTTCAATAAAACAATACATTTCTTCAAAAGCTGGAATAGATTTTATTAATTGAAAAATTATATATAACATGTTCAATACTTTAATGAGTTTAGAAAAATTGTATGTTCTGCTAACACAACGTGCGAATCGTCGACGAAGAAAAGAAAAGAGTTGATATGAATTTATCTACACATTTTCTGTTGGTACGTTCAAGGAATTGAACTAGTATTTAGTAAGCGATTTTCAGTGTCTAAAGGTTGTGCACGTAAAGGCGATTCGGTGGCTGCTTGAAAATTTCTTCGCTAAGCGATAAAGGAAGAAACTTTTCTCGATGCCGGTACGCGAGATTGCCGAAATTTTTACGCTTCTCCCGAAGATATAGCCTTTATCTTCGCCGGGAGAGTCATTTAAGCTTTTATTACGCCATCGCGTTGCATTTCAAAATAAAGCGACCCATACGGCGACATATTCTAAATCATGTTCCTTCAGCAATATAATCAATTCCTTACGTGCTAAAGAAATTTTAACTCCTTTGTTATACACGAAGGGCACAATTTTTCAAAGCCTCGAAGTTTTGAAATTCTTTATGTTACGAAATAACGAGAGGAGTCAATTTTGAAATGTCACTTGTAAAATGTACATTCACTTGCTAAATCAATTTCTGTCAAAGAAATTTCAAGTGGAAATTAAATATCTTCTTGTGTATACAAGATAAGAAATAAATGAATTCTTATTCTTCTCGTCGTTGTTTAAATGAAGAAATTATAATATATTGTGATTAAAATTATGGTAGACATACATAATGGGTGCAGAAAGTGTCATCTTTTTTTCTATGTGAAAATAAATTCTTAAATAACAAAAAAAAAAAAAAATTTGATACTGCATATAAAGATATAAAGAAGAAAATCTCTTATATTTGTTAAACTGTAAAAGCGAAATAATACTTTATGCAACGAACAACGCAAAGTGTTTGTATCACAAAATATTAGGATCCAAAGTAAAAAGTGTCGGAAGGCACATGTCGAATGGAAATGTGTCACCTCGTACTTGCGTAATTTACAAAGATGATGCTGCACGCAGTTGGCGTCAATTTTTCGATTCGTTTCCGCGAAATCCAGGTTGATTTATCAACGTATTGACAGAGTCTAGTACCCAGTCTTATCGGAAATTTTCACACGACAGACTGCCGTGTTACGAGAGTGTGTTGTGCAACGCGTTCATGTCAGGGCAAGACACTGATTTCGCGTCTACGTGCTTGTCCACTGAAATGCAATTGCATACACGATGCGGTGCATCGATAGCGGGGCTCGTATATCGAAGTCGAACATTATGCAACCCGGAAATAAATCGACTACTGTCAGATTCTGGAACGGGGGAATCTTACGCGTGTACGACAGGAACCGAGATTATTTCAATCTTGTTGTTTACACGCGTGGATAAGAAAATTGCTAATGAATTACGCGTCGTTTGTGACTCGGAATTATTCATGCATATTGATACCGTGGGATGGTTTATTTCGCGAAGAACATTTTTCATTACTCTGTGTAATTCCTCGTGGGTATCTATGTGAATTCATATTTTTACGAGTTTTAGTTTATTCTGTCCAGTTAGAAACTACTAAGAAACAATAGGAATCAATTTATAGAGAGCTAACAGAATAAAATATTCTCTTAAAATTCTATCAACAATTCTGTTGACTCTGAATTTTGTTAAAATACGAAATAATTTTGTCCAGCGATTACTTCAATTCTAAACATTTTCACCAGTAAAAAAACCAAAAAAAAAAAAAAAAAGAAAAAAGGAAAAGAAATCAATTTCATTCACTCAAACCGAGCTGTAAAAAAAAAAAAGAAAACAGTAAAAAAGTTTTTTTCCTTCAATAAAATTCGTTCAATAATTCTCTTTAATAACTCTAGATTTCAATGGAATACTTCCGCTTATAAGTAACCAGAAGTCACGTACAACAAAAAGCAAACTGAATCTAAACAAACGGGAAACGAACACGCTAGAAAAATGAGAGCTAGAAAAAAAAAAAAAGAAAAACAGGTAGGAAACGGAACGAAGCATATATACAGAGGCGAGTTTTAATAGAGGATTTCGCCGCAAACGAAACCTGGAAAATGCATGAAAAATTTCCCCATACGTACATACCGTTTCTCCCCATTCAGCTGAAATTTACTTTCGGAACCTCATTAACCGCGATTCATTTCGTTTCTCTCTCTCTGGTTGCAGTGCCGCGAGCCGTGTTAAAAGAACAATACCAAGGCGACGTGGAGATGGACGAGGTGGATTTAATGCATCAGTTCGAGGAAGGGTTCGACAGGGCGGACTTCAGGGCCGAGTTCAGCCCAAGCCCGAACCTGGAAGGACCGCAATCGCAGCCGAGGGACAACGTTTCACGGAATTTCCCCACGGTCAGTTCATCCCCGCCGCGAGCCAGAACCAACAACGACGGTGAGTAACGAACATTAGTTGCTTCCTCTTGCTTAAACTCGTTCGAGGTTAAACTAACCTTCGTAATGCATCGCCCTGTAGCTGTGTGCGTGGCACTTCCCGCGAGTTTCGTCGTGTTCTTGTACGTACGGCCAAATCGATTCGTCCGGCTCCAATTGATTGCGAAGAACGAAAGTCGATATCGCTATGTACGATGAATGAAATGATTTCCCCCAACTTTCACGCGTTAGTTGACGAATTTAAAGGAATTCTTGAGTAATTGGCGTGGATTTTATTTTGTCCAGGAGGGTGAGAATAATTTCTATACTTTGGGATTCGTGAAGATGAAGGAAGACCGAAGAAATTGTCAATTGTGATTGTTGCCATTGGGAAGGGATAATTTTCCATTTTTGTTTCTCATTTCTGCATTTCTGATGAATATTTTAAAAATTGAAGAATGTTATATATTGTAAATTTTAAGAAATCGTTTTGTATTCGTTTGTTTGTTAAAAGTAGGAAGTGGGTAAGGATTCTAACACTGTGTACAGTAAAAATTCCAATTCACAGAAATTTCATTAATTTTATAGATGAATTAAAGTTTCATGCTGATTATTGAATGTAAATGATTGGACAAAATGATTCAATGAAGTATTCTTACATTCTAGCGAGCACGATCGAATCGAACTTGGCGTTTTTAGATCACTCACACTCAAATTTATATAACTCTCTATAACGTATAAAATGAGAGCGATGCATTTTTTATATACAGAATGATTTTTCTAGGAAGAGATCATAGCAGCAAAATAATGTTCTTCTTCTTCTTAAACTGAAATCAGGTTGAATTCAAATAGAGATCAGTTTTACAAAATAAATCGCATTCAATAAAATCTTCAAAAAATTCAGATTTTACTCTATATTCATTTCCTTCACGAGTTCTCTCATAAATTTGACAATGTGGCTCTACATAATCAGCAGAAAATTATAAGATAAAGATTTTCTTAATTCTACCACAAAATGGACACACTTTGACGTTCAACACACAACGTACCAATATAATTATCCCTATAACTGCCTCTCAAAATTCCCTTGAAATGAAAGAAAAGAAAAAATTGTTTCTCTGTCGTGATCTCTTCCCGAATCAATTTCAGCGATCTTCTTCGTCGCACTTGCACGTATGCTAGCTTGACGCACGATTCCTCGCCTTAGCATGGTCGGTTGGGCCCGCACTGACACATGACGTACGCGTGCATAAACGCGCGACATTAGTGAAACCAAAGTCGTTAGCAACGCGAACATTAACGCTCGAACGTAATTAAGGTTAATGTTACACCGACAACATTGCTTTATGATTTATACGCGCGTTACATGTACATATATATATGTACGTATGTATGTACACAACTCTTACAGCGATAGTCTGAACCGTGCTAGTCGACGACTGCTAGCTTTCCAGTCTTGGCTAATAACGTTGGCGGTTTACCTGATGCTAATAGGAAATCAATAGCGTAGGATTTGTAAACCAGAGAGGCTGCACATCGTGTTGCGGCCACGGAAAATAGAGGAGTCCAGATGCAGCAGGCGTCGTCGTTGCTCAAAGCGTGATACGGTTTCTGGAATCCGGTCAACGATCGGTCAACGATGGACCGCTCCGCGTTCTGATAATTGCTGACCATTGTTTGCCGTCGTGCATAGACAGAGGGACATTCCCTCGTCGTCAAGGTGAATCAGGAATTCTTTTGCACGAAACGGAGTCGATTGAAAATTATCTCGAAAAATATCACATATCGCCTTGAGCAACACTGATTCTTCGAGAATATCAAAGACAGGGAATTTAATAAAGTATTTTCGTGGATTTTTGATATTGGTGTTCAAGTACTAATATCTGAGGGGAAATAATTAAATAGAAAGAAGTGTTAACTGCTAGATTATATGGTCAAGCTTCTCATACGTGTTCTTGTGTACTTCAATTTCAAATACGTAATCTGTATTTCAAAGCGTGGCAAATCTATTTTTTCTCGTAACACACAATTCCTTTTTGTAATTAAAAATGTCCATTTAACTGTCCTAAGTATGTTAAACGATGCGATTAAAAATTTCATTTAATTCTAATTTCATAAAATCATATATACATACGTGCGTGTGTGTGTAGGAAGAGAAGTATATTTAAATACAGAGACATACAAATATATTTTTAATACACGTTCAAATGCATGAGATTTGCACAGAAAATTTTCTTTCAAAGATCTGACAGAATCAAACGACAAAATGGAAAAGCTATCGTTCGAAAGAACAACAATGAAGCAGTCAATCTTGAAAATCGAGATTAAAAAAATTCATGCTATTATATTAAATACAAGTTGATTAAAATTTCCAGGGAATTTGCGTCTTTTATTCGAATATATACGGTAGCCTAATTGATTTCGCCTCTTTCCTACGCCAATGTACCAGCAGAGTAGACATTCAATCTCCGCAGAGATTTGCAATCCGCTATCATTGAAACTCGGCAGATGCTGGAAAACTGGATATCTGGCAGACGTCGATCTCTGTTGTCCAGGATGGCGTAGCTGCTATTACTTCAGAAACATGGAACGTGTCATTGGTAGGCTGGTATTACTAATAGTAGTAGTGAATGGCGGAAATTTGAGGCAGGGATAGTGTCGACGCCAGGTCTGACCAATATAGGACATTACTACTGTCGCTCGAACTAGTGCCAGAAAACTCTGGCAGAGAGTGTAACACACGTTGAAAATAAAATTTTCTCCGCTGTTCGTTAGAACTTCACTCAACTGTTCGAAAATTACCAACGAACTATTCTTTGTAATTTCTATACCAGTATCGAAGCTTTTTAAAATAGACTTTTACATCGATTTAAAAATTATTCTGTTTGCAACACAATTCTTGTACGTTCAATTGATATAGTTGCTCTGTTTCTTATTAGTTTACTCGTAAATTCTGTACTATTCTGTTTTATACAAATAAGAGGCATATGTAGTACAAATATATATTATTTTATAGTTCTAAAAACGCGATTGAATAATATGAAATCAAATATGTAATATCAAGGAATATATATAATTATAATGATATTTTAATGAGTTTAATCATAATGATAAGATCTAATCATATATCTAATTACAACATGACAAATGAAACGATAATATCTGTTGCAAATGCCACGATCATGTTTCACAGAATGGAACGACAATAACAATATCAATTACAAATATCGCTATCATCTTGCATGATTATTGAACTGTAATATTTCACCGTAGTTAGGCGAAACTGTCAGATATTCAATTACAATTCCAACGATTGCTCCCACACGGAACTCTGCGTACGTTTTCACGAATAACTCGCGCATCCGTCCACCTTATGTGACAACTATCCGCGCATTCACGAGCACCGTTAGAATTCCACGGACCATTCGCCTGTGCATTCGCAAATTAATTCAGACAATCGCGTCCGCCATCCATACTCTCGTTATTAAGATCCGATGCATTACCCTTCCTCTTTCTCTCTTTCTTTTTCGGGTTGAATGCGTTTCCCTGCGAATTGAAAAGGAAGCACGAAGCTTCCCAGCCCCTCCGTCCCTCCCTCTTTGCATCGGGTAAACAATACGCGTCGCGATACTACGCTGAAGTCTTCTTCTAAGTAGTGCTTTCCTCCCTCGTTTTTTCGGCCTGCTCGAAAGAAACCTGCACACGAGAAATGCGAAGCGCGTTCACAGCCCCGTGGTTTTTAATAATGCGTCGTCGCAGCGAAATCGTCTGCCCGCATGATGTTTTATTCTTTCTTTCTCCTGCCTGAGCCAGCGATGAAAAATCGTAGCGCCGGCTGGGGAGTAAGTTTTCCTAGTCGTGGTTTCGCGCGTTTCGAACTTGTCGCGAAGATATTTTTCGACATTCTGACGAGTATAATTAGGCAGCGAGGTAGCGTAGTGATTAATACAGGGTGGATTGTTGTGCAATTGGTTTCTTTCATTTACTAAATAACTGATTTACTAAATAATTTGCACATTTTATGTATTTTTGCACGTTATGTGCATCTTTAATTTTCTCACGAATGTAATACAAATTATACTTCATATATTGTTCGAAGTAAGAAGTAAACTCCACGTGCAACTGTACAGTTCGAAAAAATTATCTTTCGCGCTCTATGACCAACTAATCATTGCCGTGACTTAAATACAAACTAATCTTTAAAAACAAATATTTGCTTCGCTGAAATCGTGCCCGATTCCTTGGATTCTGCGTCGCCATAACTCTCAGTCAGTCGATCTTACAAATCCCACGTGATTCATTCTTCCCGCGCGCGATTAACGCGCATAAATCAGAACCGCTCGCGCGTACACGTGTTTCGGTACAAGTACGTGAACTACCGTAATTCAAACATAACCGTGTGACTGTGGTCGTGGGCACCCTCTCGAGCCGGCGTCGCTCCTTAATTAATCATCAGGCAAATTTACCCAGCTCCGGCAGAGGCGTCGACGATATTCTCCTTCCTACCACCCCGATTTCCAGTGTTATTTCATTTCAAATATTTATCGCTCGGCTAGACCAATTAATTCAACCGGTAATCACGCGGCGACGCGTGTCTCTGATGATCGTCCATGGGACTCGGCGAAACGAGCCATAATCTCGAGTCGCCGTCGCGTTACCGTCGCGTGGCGGAGCGAGAAATTCGAGACTAGAGAGGAATAAAACAGGTTCCGTTCGGGTGTCGGACGATCGAACCAACCTGACAAAAGGAGAGCCCCTCCCCTCGAGTTGTTCGGAAACTTGGAAAGCGATTTCCCCGAGCTAATTTCCCGTTCGCTGACTCCTTTAAACGGGGCTCGCGTCGTCGCCGGAAAAAGCGTCGACGAGGATGGACGATAGAAGAATGAACCGGGAGAGAGAGAGTGAGAGAAAGAGAGAGAGAGAGCTGGAGGAACAGTTCGGCGGAACTTTGAATCGAAGGGAGTTTATTAAATGAAATAAAAAGAAGGGGAAGGATGAATCTTGTTAATTGCTGGGAAATGAAGCGAACACTCCAGTGGTTTGAAATCGTTTCATGAGATAGTTCAATTGATCCTCTGTCTTTTCTCGTCTTCACTTTGAGGGATTGTAGACGATCGGTGAGAATCATTAGACGAGGATAATAAATAAAGGGAACGAGGGAAATAAGAAATATCAGAGGAATAAATATTGCAAATAGTATAATATATAGTTATTTGCGCAACTGAGTGTTATAACTTTAGAGATTCTTTTTGATAAGTATATTCTACTTTTCGTAAACGGAATATTTTAGGAATATTCGAATGATCCGAAATTGTAATTTTTACGTGGTACTGCATATCTATGACGTTGAATGACGTGAAATGTGAAAAGATTGGGAAACCTATTAATTATTGGAATAAACTGAAGCTACAGGTTTTATGTGACTTTTATTGATTTTAAGGGTTCTGTAGTCAATCTCAAATCTCATTGTACGACGTTTCGAAATTCATCTAGTCTAATCTAATCGTTAAAGTTTTTGATCTCCTTTCTGAAAAGAAACTAAAAATTTTAATTGACCTTACTAATGAACGCATTCGTATTATCTCTATTCCCACCGTTATTCCCATTCTGTCGCGGCGTTCTTATGCGAAACAAAATTGGATGCAGTTCAAGCATCAATGACAATTCTGCGCGAAACGGTATTGTGAAAGCCGAGTGAAAGAGAAGAAACGCTTCAGCCCCGAAAATTTCTAATTAGCCAGCAGTCTAGCGCTGAATTGTGTAACAAAATTGAATTACGGAACTTGAATTTCAAAGATTCTTCCGCGAATCTTGGGAAGCTTTAATTGGAATTCTATTCACTCGGACACTTCCAGTCGCGAGTTCTCTCCGCTTTGCTTTGGGCACTTTCTTTCCAGATGCTCGGGCAGATCTACGAAGAGAGAAAATGGAAAAATAAAACTAGAGAGAGAGAGAGAGAGAGAGAGAGAGAAGAAAGAAACGGTTCTTTTATCCAAGAGTTCTGCCTTTTTTTTGTCACGTTTAGCCACTTGTTCGTATAACTCGTTTAATTTCATTTGAATACATTTGCACGGCGGCCAGAGTCTTTGGAATATCATATTAAACAACTTCGTGCCACCACTTTACGTTACCTGGCAAATTGCGTTTAATACGTTTAACTCTAATGCTTTTGTTCACTTTGGAGCTTGAGGTTCCTTCAGTTTATTCGATGAGAAGTTTAGTGTTTTGTATCACCTAATAGCCTTTTAATAGTCTAATTGGTGTGTAAAGGGTAAGTGTTACGATTAAATCGATTTTTTATTAATTGGAAACATTCTCCGCAGAATTTTCGAAATTTTCCTGCGACTGTTTAAATTTCTCTAATATATCGAAACAAATGTAATTATTAAATTTCGGGTTTTCATGTGTTTATATGTGAAATCTATATGAAAAGTATTCAGAATAAAGTGTTGATTATGACGTTTGACGAATGAAACGTACGTTCATCTCTGTTTATAAATATCTGAATTTGCATAACTTTCGTAATGTAATAACATTAGTTTTTTTTCTTTTTTTAGCAAGAGTAACTCTTGACTTTAAGACTTAGATCTACCTGGAAACTTTAGATATATTCAAAGCTACTGAACTTCGGATCATTTTAATTGCATTACCGATGCGGCGACAGTCA